AAATATATATTTTTGTTATTTAATGATTACTGTAAGCACCTGACTGAAGCTGTTATTACCTGAAACCTAGAGTTAAGCCTTAGCTAATTCTAGAACTAAACAAGAGAACTGCTAAGTTATCCTTATTCAATGATTACTGTAAGCATCTAACTAATCAAGAAACAGTATATACATATATATTATACATGAGTGTTAAGTAATAATATAGTCGAGTTTCTATATTTGTACCCCGCTAAATCGAAAATTGCGATAGATCGAAGAAAAATTATATCCCATTGAAAAAAATTCCTTCTCGATAATTTGAATTTCTGTGTAAATCGAAAGAAATAACTGCCATTTCGAATTATCGGGACTCGACTGGACTTTCCCCCAGTCTCAAAACAAGTCAAAGTTAGCTTTGCTATTTATTCCAAATATCTCCTAAGCTTATATGCAAAGGAAATTATTTTTTTAAGTTGATCGCAGTCGAGTTTATAAACTAAACTCATTAAAATATATATATATTGTTCCACTTCATTACTGTGAGCACCTGTCTAAGCCCTAGTTCCACCCCAAATCAAGACCAAGTTTGCCTTGCTATTTACTACAATTACTCATTCGCTGATGCTTTTGACCATATATAGTTTCAGAATCCAAACGCTTTGCCAAATTGCGTATACGACGGTAAAGCGTAGGAATTCTAAAACGATACGCTAGCCATGTCCCGTCCCGCCCGTCCCGTCCCGTGCTTAGCACTTGCTGGCAAATTGCAATTATTCGTCTTAGAAGCGCCTTCAATATCCGAAATTAAACTCTCATTTAATTAGAAATCGAATTGCATCGATGTTGTTCCATAACAAGCATTTCGATACATTCAAATTGGTTTTCTCAGCTCAAGTTTTGCCCACACTAACGCCAACAACAAAACACCATAGAATTGTTTACAAAGTTTCCATATTATGTGGCTGCCAGGGCCAACTGAAGTTTGAGCTCAAGCTCAACCCGAGCAACGTCTGTCGGCAAAGCGCTACATCTAGCACTTGGCACAATAGAAATTTTGATTGAACAATTAACTAAGTGTAAGTGTGGGCTGTGTGGGTGTGGCTGCATCATTCCATCTGGATCTCTGTGTGTGTGTGTGTGTGTGTGTGTGCATTTTAATATTAAGTTGCACAAACTCAATAATTGGCAACTAATTAGGAGCATAATCGAGGCAACAATGGAAACATAAAGTGTTCAACGGGCGTTGGCAAATTGAATTACCAAATATTGATAAACTGTTTGCCAAAAGACTAAACTTGAACAATATCGAGCTATACATACATACATATATATGTATATATATATGTGCATAAATTGCCATAATAATCAGAAATTGCCATAGATGCCACGAGAGCATTTATTTCGCATCGCATAAAAGCCAATAAAGTGAATTTGTGCGTGCATGCGGGCTTGCATGCATGCATGCATGGGGCATGCGTGCGTGCAGACGTACATACCCACACACACACACACACATACATATATGGCACATGCTGGCATGCACTTGATGAAGTCTTTTTCCAGCTCTCCAACTTCCAGTCAATATCAAAGTTAGAAATGTTCAAAATGTCAATAATGCAAAAAGGTATTTCGATAGCTTGATTAAATTCGACTCTATATTGCTTCATCCTTTTTCTTGCTTCCTCTCCCTCGCTCTTTCTCTCTGTCTCTCTCCCTTCTGTCGTCTCTTTGACTAAGCCAATCAGTTGCAGTAGCGTACATAACAGAAAACCCACAATCAACAAGTGCCTCGGACAAGTTAATTATTTTTGCAGCCAAGGGGCAAGTATTGGCATATCTGAATCGTGGTATAGTTTAAAGAACTCAGTTACATTCACAAACAGAAACCACAAATAGCCAGAGCAAAGGTAAAACGAGAAATGAAAATGCAAACATGTTTGCCATTCGATTGACTGACGTGAACGGACAGCAGAATACCCTGTTAAATGGAGCTAAGTGAAGCGGCGATGAATATTATTTGTGCACTTTATGAGGTCGTTTTCCAGTTCTCTAACACCAGTCAATGCCAATAATTTTATGCCAATGGCAAACTAGAGCTGATAAACCCATCGATAACACCATCAATGGTATCGATATCGATCACCGTTTGCGATAAGTTGTTGGATGTCTTGTCAGCTATAAATAACGCTAGTATTACAAATGATTCGCTTTTCTAATGGAAGGTATTATTAGTAAAATTTAGTATTATAGGTCGTATTGCTTATATTTCCTACAGTTTAATCTATACATAAAAATTGAGTTTTCTCATCTTTAATATAACAGGCATGAAAATGGCTCAGCTTAGGAATTTCTCGAGATCCTAAAACTCTATTATAGGCATTACGAAACAAACATACGTAGGGCTTAACATTTCTAGAAAATGCAATTTCAGTTTTGTAGAGCTGTTCAGTCAAGCTTTAAAGCAATCGTTACTCTATCGATAGTTCCAACTCTAAACTTGACGTTTTCAGTATCGATTATCACACGACTTAGCAGCTCCACAAACCTGAATATATCCACTTTTTGCATTTATACTGTTAATGCGAAAAGTTATAGAAATATCTCATATTTTCACTTTGAATAACTCTGCAAACTGTCGAGCTTGCATTAGTTTCTGTTTTTCAATCGGTACCCGCTTCATTAGGCGCAACTGGCTTAGATGATTGGAATACCTTCCAGGATATGTGAGTGCATAAATAATTGTTTTCAATTTTCTAGCCACAGGCACAAAACCACTTTGTGAGCTGAGGACAATTACGTGTGTGGCTGGAGCCTAAAAGGACATCAAAGAACGATGACAGAGTCATAAATGCAAAAGCACGTTTCCATCCATTTCAGTCGGAACATTTCAATAGCAGAAAGAAACAACAACAAAAATGTGAGCAAATAGAGAAACGGAAAGAGGCAAAGCCACAGCCCCAGCCTGGGCATAGCAGTGCACATTGGCAACTTTTTCAAACTTAAACAAGTTTATTTTCCATTTTTTTTTTTTCTTCTTCTTCTCCTTGGTCACAGTTAATTGATGTGGTAAATTAAGCAATGCTACGCCCGCCTGCTGGCCAAAAAAAGAAGAAAAAATCAAATAGAAAAGGCAGCAAATATATGCCCTAAGGCATACACTATTATTTGCTCATCGATGCGCGCTTAAAGCCCTCATCAGTATTGACTGCTGTCAATGCTGAAAATTTCTGCTGGCAACGCAAAAAAAAGAGAGAAAACCAACAACAACAACAACAACAAGAAAAATAAGAAAAACTTGCGTTATATTTGCACAATGTGTTTATATTGGGGCTGCTGCTCTGCATTGTTGCACGCCAAGTGGGGTATGCCCCACTCGCCCAGTCACATAGTTGGGACCAAATCCCACAAAATGAGCATCAATCAAAAGTAAATCACGCCAGCAACTAGATGAAAGCGTGACATGTGTTGTAAAAAAAAAAATTCCCCAAGGGTTGAGCGTCACACATACAGAAAAAAAAACCACACACACACACAAAAGCAAAGTCCAAAAAAGGGCGCAAAAAAAAAAAGATACTTTAAAACTGCCTTTAATAGAGCCGTGTGCCTGACAGGCAGCAACGTTCTATATCATTTGCCTGCATGGGGCGCAGTGTCCTGTTTCAATGTCTCGCAAAATCTAATTTTCAGCGTAAGCTCTGACAGTAAATATTTTATAAATTTCTCTGCCGGAGTTACTTACAAAGCATTTTTGTGCCTGGTTAACTAACAAATTACGAAACAATTTCATTTACAGTAAACTACATTTTATGAGATTCCATGCAACAACAAAAATGCAATATAACAGCTAAATTTTATATATGTATATGGATTGAGTATATATATATATACATATATAGTATATACTTATATATTTAAGATTTTTGCTACAAGTACCTAGTTGAGCTACATTATAGGACATAGTATATTTAATAAACGAAACGACGTTTGCGTCTCGGTTTTAAATTGCAAAGTTTCAAAGCTCATTCGAGCGAATTGATGTAATAGGAAAAGCAAAGACACTTGGCTTACTTATTAAAGCTAATGATTTTTAATCCACATAGAATGCAATAGATGTACTTAATATGCATTAAGGACTCGCTGAATATGCAGCGTGAAAGAAGCTTAAATGTCTTAATGAAATACTATAATATGTTTAGCATTTTGTGACATTTTCTAAATAATTTTGGAAATTTCTAAAGAATAATATAAATTATTCATACAATTAAAACCCATATATGGAGCATGAACAAGTAATCAATATACAAACTATTGAGTCTAGGGATATGAGAAATATCCTCTTGGTATTAGGATCCAATAACATACAATGAATGAGATAAATTAGTGAAATGCTCGTACTAGACATATTAAAAATACTATAAAATTATCCATCCATTAATATAGAAACTGAAGCAATTCTTCATTTTATTTTTAGTGGTAAATTTATACTTTTACAATTGCAAAAGAAATGTTTCTTTCAAGAAATTAAAATAACAGCCAGTTGAACAACGAAAAGTTCAGTAAAGCTAAATAAATAACATAAAACATTTGTAAGTCTTCTTATGTCATTTGTTTATTCAGCATTTTGAAGTTTCTCAAAGTTAGATTTCTCTTTAACAGAGACTTCAAAATCTCTCCTTGCTTCAAAGCAATCAAAGTTGCCTGGTTTTACATATGTATATGAATAAAATATATATTTTTTTTCTACTCTCAGAGTTTTTTTTGTATGTAAGTGCATATTAAGTTTGGTCTAAAGAAGATTTGTTTGTTGCAGAATGCATTTGATTTAAATGCTGTTAGGACAGTTGGAGAAAAATATACAAGACTCACTTCAACAGCAAGAGAATAGATAGCAAAATAAAAAATAAAAAAATTTTTTTAAATCCTCAAAGGATGGGGTAAATGGTGATCCTATATAAAAGCATAAAATAATAAATTTTTCTTAGCATTTAAACTTTAAGTTGTATGTCTAATTAAACAAGTGTGTATTTAATACCAGACTCTCAGCAAAAGTTGCAAAAATATGTATGTGTGAAATATGTCAAATAATATTTGATATGAAAAGAAGATCCGATAAATATATAACTTGACTAGATGTCTAGACATATTAGCCTTATGGCTTCTAGAAATTCCAAAAAAGATTCCACGTCTTCGACAATAGGTCTACTATAAGGAATGCTGTTACTTTTATATATATTATAAACATTTGGTCAACTCAAAAAGGTTTTAAGAGTTTTTAAGAGTTGAGCTGATAATTTCTAATTGTGAGAAATCAAGCAAGCACTGTTTAAACTTTGCTATCAACTTTGAGGCATATTACATTTGAAATATTATAGGGAATTTGTTATTTCATTGTAAACATATCTGTATACATATTTTAATTTAATTAGTACATAATTCTCGTATATGAGAGTTGAGCTAAATAGTTGAAACCTATCTCTGCTATTATTATATCTCTCTGATCTTTAGATAACCCTAAGACACATGCCGAACTATTAGTATTATTAATAGAAATGTATTATGGAATATATAATAAACTGTAGCAGGCCACTATAAGATTTGAGGGAGCAGCACTATGGCTAACCATCGATAAATACACGTCTATCGATAGCTAAACATATCGATGGACAAGGCAAAAGGGAAAGGAATAGCAGAGCTGAATTTATATTTGAAAAGATTAGAAATTAAGTTAAGAAATAAAAGCCACCTCCAAAAACATATTTTAAACTTTTTATGGGCCTGCTTAACTTTGGCTAACAATTTTTAGCCACATTTCATTTGGAATACTTTGAAACATTTTTATACCCTGAACCCATTGAAAATGGGAAATCAGGGTATAATGGTTTTGTTGAAATGTATGTAACAGGCAGAAGGAGGCGTGGCAGACCCCACAAAGTATATATATTCTTGATCAGGGCGACGAGCTGAGTCGATTTGGCCCTGTCCGTCTGTCTGTCTGTCCGTCTGTCCGTCTGTCCGTCTGTCCGTCTGTCCGTCCGTCCGTCTGTCCGTCTGTCCGTCTGTCCGTATGTTTGAACGCGTCGATTTCCGAAGATATAAGAGCTAGAGACTTGAATTTTTTTTTNAAAAAAAGTTATTAAACAATTAAGTTCTCATAGTAAGCGCACACTGCAGCCCATGCGTGTTTATGCGTGGGTGCTTGTGTGTGTATGTGTTTGTGTATGTGTGTGTGTTTCTTGTCTAAGCTGAAAGACGCGAAAAATTATTGAAATAGCTAGCACTCCAAGGGTTCAGGGGATCTCGTAGTCGAGTAGTCTCGACTAGAGCTTTCTTACTTGTTTTTATTAGTTTACAGTTTATATTTAATTTAAATACCTCCAGAAATGATGACCTTTTTTGTTTTGTTTTTATTTAGGCTATTAATATATATCATATATAGTCGACTGAACTTTAATTTAAATATTTTTAGTTAGAAAGAATGAATATATCATATATAGTCGACAGATAATGATATTCAGTAAGTCGAATATATATAGCTATATCATATATAGTCGACTGACTATGAGTTTTAAAGGTTTATAATCAGACTATGGATATGCTTATCATATATAGTCGACAGATAAGGAGCTTTACTTTCAAGCTTTTCAGTTAGACTACATATGTGTACGTGAGTATATATCGTATATAGTTAAGTGATGTGTACTTACCACCAGCGGCGTGGACCAAGGCACAAAGCTGGGCTACGATGACGACCAAATAAGTGAGTGTTATCCACATGACGGCGGTTGCACTGACGTGGTCGTTGGCCTTGGCGCTCTGGTTGAGCGCAGGTAGCTTAGCTGTAGTTGGACTGGCTTTTCGTGAAGTGAAGTGTTTCCGGTAGGCTATATATTTGCTTGATACACCCGTGTAATCTCTCACTCACATACGATTGTCGCAATTGCTTTCAAGCTCTGTTGAAATTAATTTCTAATTGTTTGACTCTAATGCTCTCGCACGCTCTCTCTCTCTTTATATCGCTCTCTCTATCGAATGATGTATGTATGTATGTAGTGTGTGTGAGTCTTCCTTGCGTATTTTGCTTTTAATATTATTATTATTA